GAAATGTGTCCTCCTTTGCTTCTGACCACCAACTATATTGTTTAAATGACGGCACTGCCGCGTTTTTACGGGGTCTGACATACAGTAGCTGTCTCGACCTAACTTTGTGTCAAGTAGCCTAAGTACCAAGGTGCAGTGGTTGCGGACAATGAAACGCATGGCAGTGACCACATTCCCACCTATATAAAGATCAAGGAGCTAAGCAAGTCGAAAATCGCGTCTGCTTCATGGATAGACTAGTCAAAGTACAGATCATCCACATTGAAGCAATGCGAGAGAAACCAAAAAGGTTCTCTTGAAAGCCTAGAAGGTATAATGAAGGCCGCTATCCAAGAAGCAATGTTTAATTGTGGACCTTTGCCAGATTTTCGCAAATATGAGGTGAAGTTGGAGTGACTTCAAGCAATCCGTCGTCGCGCCGAACGACGTTATAGGCACACGAAATCAATCTACGACTTGAGGGAAGCGAGACGTCTACAAAAGAAGATTCAACGTCGAATCAATGCACTAAAGTCTCTACGATGGAAGTCACTATGTGAGTCACTCGATCCCCACAAACCTCTTTCGCAAATATGGAGAATAATGCGCGGCCTACGAACATTGCCACAACAGCATCGCCCGTTCAAATGCCTTGCTCTCCATCAAAGCCGACGTGAAATCGATGTAGCAGAAGACTTCTGTGCCAGGGTTGCACACAAAAGATCCGGGATCAACATGAGTAACGTACGAAACGCGCCGGTGTCCAGAGACACTCGGATGGACAATATGTTTTCTCTAGAAGAGCTTCAGGCAGCATTGGCAGCATGCAAGCGCTCGTAATCTCCTGGACCCGATGGAGTCACTTACATGGCCCTTGCTAACCTAGGACAAACAGCTCGGCGTGTTCTTCTAGCTGTATACAATGGCTCGTGCAGCAACGGTTTTGCTTCCTCCTTCGTGGAAGTGCAGCCGCCTTGTGCCTCTGCTCAAACCAGGCAAATCGACTCTGGACATGGCCTCCTATTGCCTCATCGCGCTTGCCAGCTGTTTTGGAAAGGTGATGGAGAGAATGGTGCTTGTGATGATGTGGATTGTGTAGCCCGTGACGGGGCGAAGAGGGAACGGCAGTTCTGCTCTGCGGTACGCCTTGGAGGCTGACGAGAAAAAGGAAGCGCGAGCGGGGCGTGCGGCTCGGGCAGTTGGAGCGTGACACGGTTCGAACGGCAGCTGCTGGTCGGCGGTTCGGGTCGCGACATCGCTTAACCAGGCGTCCGGCAGCCTTGCGGACCTGGTGAGCTGGCTTCCTGCTTCGGGCTGCGTCACTCAACCAGGTGTCCGGCAGCCTTGCGGACCTGATGAGCTGGCTTCCCGCTCTGTGGACGGCGCTGACACGGCGACCGGCAGCATAGTCTCTTCGTGGCCTGAGGTCCTGGGGCCCGAGTGGTGGCACGAGGTGGCCGCGGCTCATGTTGGCGACGGGCTATTAACCTGCACTGCAGTGGCCTGGTGATCTACCGGCCTGCAGCACCACCATCACCACCACCACTACCTCACCACGGTCAAGGCAGCGTGACTGCACAAGAAACACCGGTGACGACCGACCTCGCCGCAGCGGCAACAGTCATAACGGCGAGTAGGACAGTTCGTGTGCCGAGGCGCGTAGGACGTTTGGCATGTAAATAAGGAACACTATAGTGTGTTGTGTGTTAATTGTAAGAGTTATCAGTTGTGTTAAAGTCTATGTTGTGTGTACAGAGTCACCTGACTGCCGGTTGATTTATCCCGGATCCTGGGCCCACATTCCACCATAACAGTGCTGACTCGCCTGGAGTGGTACCTGGAACATAACAATATATACCCCGATGCTTTGACCAGCTTTCCACGTAGATGGTCTTCCATAGACAATGTTGTTGATATCGTGATGTCTGTACAACAGCAGAAAAGCCTAGAGAGATTATCAGCGGCACTTTTCTTGGATATTAAGGCTGCATATGACAATGTACTACATGAAACCATCCTGGACGCCTTGGGCAGCATTGAATCGGGAGGCCGCGTTTACCATTGGATCTACAGCTATTTGAAGGACAGAACCTTCTTCGTTCAGGCAGAAGATGGTGCAACAAGGTACCATCATACTTATCGCGGCGTACCTCAAGGTGGGGTCGTAAGCCCAATACTTTTCAACCTTGCGTTCATCGGCCTCGTTGACGTCCTGCCACACTCCGTGCATCTGTCTATATACGCGGACGACATATGCATCTGGGCATCAGTGGTCACGCGTCTACACGTACGAGCCAGGCTTCAGACAGAGGCTACACTGATGTCAAACTACCTTCAAGGACGATGACTGAAACTGCCACCTGAGAAATGCTCATTGGTTGCGTTTACGCGCAAGACAATGACGCCATACCGCATCAGAATGAATGGACACACGATCAGCTATCAAATTACCCACCGTTTCCTTGAAGTAATAGTAGAATGTGACTTGTCTTGGAGCCCTCATATCGCCCACATGAAGAAGAAACTGACCATGAACACCCACGTCCTAAGGTTCTTGCGAGAAATTCATGGGGTGCATCGAAACAAGCCATGCTTCAATTGTATGGTGCACTTTTCTTGGCTTCATGCGCTACAGCCTACCTGTGCTTGGCTAGGCCCGCATAACAAACGTACGCGTCCTCCAGTCATTAAACGCTCAAGCACTGAGAATATACCTCGGGCTTCCGAGATGCGCATCCTCAGCAGAGACTGTCGCAATCACTCATGAACACCCTATCACAACCTACATTCGTGTCGATGCTTTAAAAACGCACATATGGCATCCCCCCAGATTCAATCGCATCACCTGGCCTCCCTTCCAGCTTTCAGGCCAGGCTCTGCGTTCTGCTCTATTATTGCCCCACATCGCACGGTGATTCCCACGAACATAACGCACGCAGCAAGACCGTCGTTACCATTGTGGTGTCTACATTCACTGGAAGCCCTGATAACCGTCCCCAGAATGCAAAAGAAGAAAAATTTGTCAGATTTGGCCCTAAAACAAACAACATTACTGTTTCTGCAAGAGAAACACAGTGGACGCATTCACATTTACACGGATGGGTTGGTCACTTCAACAAGTTCAACAGGCACAGTAGTGATTCCGGAGAAATCCATCACGATAAAGTTCAGAACATCACATCTGACATCATCCACGGCGGCAGAACTCGCCGCCATTCGTGTCGCTCTGGAGTTCCTAGTTGAAGAACCGCAACAGACATAGTCAATCTTCTCCGACTCCAAGCAGCCCTCCAGGAATTGCCTCACCATACTGTCATAGACCAAACGAACAACTAATTGCTGAAATATGACTGCTTCATCACCAGGCTATAGAAAAACAACATGACATAGCATATCAATGGATACCAAGCCACTGCAGCATTGATGAAAAAGACGAAGCAGCCCGATCTGCTCATGATGATGCCCCTTGTTCAGCTATACCTTTATCAAGAACGGACGCCGCTGCAAGGCTTCGATTACTCTCACGAGAACTGACACTCGCTCAGTGGAATTCACCGGCATTCATTAACGTCCGCCTTCATAATTTGGGCCCACACCTACAGCTCCGTTTTCTATCAGGAATAACCAGAGCTGAGGAGACACTTTTGTGCCGTCTGTGGATTGGGGTGGCCTTTACGAATGCTTATTCGTTTCGAATCGGAATGACCAGCAGCTCGACATGTGACAAATGTGGCTGCACAGAGGCTTTCTCCCGTCTTGTGTGCGAGTGTCCTTGCTTCAGTGCGCCAAGAAAAGAACTATCGAAAGTTTTAGATAGGCTAGACAATCGCCAAATGTCGGAAGAAAGGGTATTAGGACACTGGCCGAGACCATCCTCTGCACGCAAGACATTGAGAGTGTTGTTGCGCTTTCTGCGGGCTAGTGGTATTAGAGACAGATTGTAAGCAGCGTCGTGGATCGTCTGCAGACCTTCTTCCTTTTTTTTCAACATCTCTTTTCTCTCATCTTTTATACCCCTTACACCCTTTCCCAGCACAGACTAGCCAGTCGGTCTGAGAACTGGCTAACCTCCCTGTCCTTCCTCTTTCAATCCTCCTCCTACTCCTCAGACAAGTAAAAAATTATCTATTACGTAATATGCGATGTGAACATAGCTGATGTTATGACTGTCAAGGAAAGTGGCTAACCAAGAGTACTCACCTCAAGAGGTTGGCCCATTGTCTCTAGGAGTATTCGCTTCTTCATACTAAAGCTTCCGAATGATGTAACTTTTCACATGCGCTAGAGAGCAATAGACAATGCTCGTGAAAGGAGTTTGTGGGATTTCGTTTTAAAGCGAAGGCTGTCAAATGTTGTGTTCGCTTAGCGCATCAGAAGTGCGAAGCATTTCATTTGAGCTGATATACGTGCATATTCCTCGTATGCTGAAAACCAATACCGCTTTGAATAGGGCAAGCTTTGTCAGTGCCAGTAGCAAACAAATATAGTTTAAGCTGTTTCAGGTGTTGCAATAAATCCATCCTAAAATAGCACTGATATCATTTTCTTTTCTATGAATGGTGCAAGAATGCAACGAAGATAGATGCGGATACATTGCTTCGTTGGGTGTATTCTTCGCTCTTTATTAATGACCAAGTAAAATATTTGAGTGAGCGCAGATATCCTAGAACTCTGAGCGTGAGCGGTTTTCTTCAAGCATTGTGAAAACACGTATAGAAAAGCTAGCCTTGAAGATGCTTAGAAGCCATGTGGCATTGATTAAATTCTTTCTACACCACCTCGCGTGTTGAGAAAATCATGCTTTCCTCACATTGAGGCTAGCTGTAGATAAATTATCACGAGTGGTGTAGCAAGGCAGAAGCTTTTTTTACGTTCACGAGCACCCGGCGGAGTTTCATGCGATATCTTTTAGCAGTAGTCAATCGTTCGACAAATTTTGGTAGGATGACAACTACGCGGCGCATGCTTGTTGCACAGACATTGTGAGGTCTTCAGTGGTATTGTTGCGGTAGTTGTGCCAATCAGCTCTTTTTAGACAGCTTTGGTGATTCTGCGCAGCTGAACTCTGCCAAGCGAATTTGTGATTGCGCCATGCTTTCGTTATAGATGATCCTGCCAGTGGATGCGAATTCGATGATATGATTGTTCACGCTGTCTGCGCATTGGCGCATCAGCCAGTGGCCTCCTTCTGGGTAATAAACAACGAAGGATCTCTTCAGATGCTCTCGGTTGAACTCGGCTATGGGCGTAGTAAGAAATCGGTCTTTTTCGCTCCACAGGATGAGCGTAGGCACCCTGATTTTGCGGTAGTTGAGCTTCGTGAACTGGTCACTGTCGAAATTAAATGCCCGGTAGTAGTTCAGCACGCCTGTCAGAGCTCCTGCGAAGAGTCCAAAAAAAAGACAGAGAATGAATTACGTGCAATTTCGGCAGTTTTTAGGGGCGAAGCTCCTCTTAGTATAACCTTGTCCTGCGTCATGCATAACCAGCAATATCAGACAGACATACAACAGATAGACAGACAGACATACGAATGGAGGACAGACTGATGCATGGCAAAAACACGGAAGGCGGACGGAGGGACACAAAGATAGACAATAGACGGAGAGACAGACACAGACAGATGAACACACAGACAGATGGAGAGACAGAGAGACGAACGAACGGATGGACAGACATAAAGACAAGCAGACGAATGAACAGACAGACAGACAGACAGACAGACAGACAGACAGACAGACACAGACAGACAGACAGACAGACAGACAGACAGACAGACAGACAGACAGACAGACAGATGCACGAATAGACACACGATTTTCAAAAAAACAAACTGATCAGGCACTCACAAATATTAAAGAGAAAATAATAACATCCATTGAGAAAAGAAACTATATACTTGGTTTGTTTTTGTACCTATAAAAGGTATTCGACAGCATCCATCATGACACACTGCTTAACAAACTGTACAGGTATGGCATACATGGTGCAGCGTTAAACCTGGTTGACATTTACCTAAAAATCGCTTTCAAGTGGTCAGGGTAAACAACATCACTTCGTTTAAAGTAATGATAACGCAAGGTGTCCCACAGGGATGAATCTAGACCCCCTTTTATTCTTGTTTTATGTATACTATCTAGTAAATTTCCGTGATTCTCCTGAATCAGTTTTGTTTGCAGACGACACAAACGTGTTCTTTGAATGTAAAGAGCTAAAAGCACTCGAGTAAAAAATTAACGATCATTATCATCTTTATCATGCTGGCTAAGGAAAATATGGATTCATTTAAATGCAAAAAAGACTACGTACGTCATATTGCAGGCAGTGCATAAAATACTAAATACTGATCTGAACAACATTTGAAGGGAATATATCAATATAGTCACAACGCAAAAATTTCTTTGTGTAATATTGAAAGAGTGCCTATCCTGGAATTCACATCTTAATAGCCCAGCAGTGAAATCGGCAATACCTGTGGGATGTTTATACAGAGCTGCTGCTTTCCTTCCTGTGAGTCTGATGAAAATGCATTATGCTCTGTTTAACTCAAAATATGCTATGGAAATTTAGTAAGGGGAACGACAACACAAGGCAACTATAATAAATTAGTAGTACTACAAAAACGTTTACTAAGCTGCTTTGAGCAATGCAGGGGCAACCGAGAGAATTTGAGAACTCAACCATTATTTTTAAGCACGTTTTTAAGTACTGATCATATATTATTTTTCAAGTTACGTCAGTCAGACATCGCGAAAAATTATATATCACCAACAACAAAAATGAATCAACGTACTGCTTTAGAGCCCAAAAGCAACACATGCCACTGATACGAACAAATTATGGTAAGAAAACTATCAAATATCAAACCATGTCTCCTCTTAACCAACTGGAAGGAGATTTGGACCTCAATGTTAGTCAGAACCTTTCTAAAAACAACTAAAAAGGGTAATAATAAATAACGTGCTCACTTTCAGGTTGTGAAACTGGAATATAGGCTACTATTTTTTGTCAATACGGATTTTTTTCTGTATATTGATATGTCAGAAAACGTGTAGACAAACTTGTTTAAACATTTTTCTGTTTATTTTCATTTATTTTGGATAGAGATATATATTTATTTAAACGTACAAGCAGGTATGTAATCGTTAACTTTTTTTACATCTGTACAAACGAGCTTTTTTTTAAGGTCATTAGGTATTGGAACGGTGTTTTTGTCAGTCTTTTTCAATCTGCACTCTAAGAAAAATTCTATGCTACGAACAATTTTGTGTTTATTTGCTTTTGAATATTTTTGTAAACCAGTACAGAGGCTTTTCGTCAGGTATTGCTTACCTTTAAACTCTGCACCTTTCTTGTTGAAATTAAATAAAATAAACAATCTGAATCTGAATCTGAATAGCCTGAACCGAGCCAAGGCGCCGTGCTCTGTTGACCCTTTTCAGTCCAAAAAAAGGAGCTTGAACTGGCGGCATCTAGCCTGCAGGGTGGCTGAAGAAGCTTTGTGGTGCCATGTACAGTCAGGAAGTTTATGACAGCAAAGGTGGTGTGGCTTGGTGCATTCTCACAACCTTTAACCGTGGAAGGGTGTCCTAACCGTTGCTAATCTTCAAGTTGCTGTCTTCTGTAACGAAACAATTAGTTCGTTTCAGGGACACTTGAACGGCTCGTGACACCACGGTCATAAGATGTCTGGGCCATTGGTCTCATTTGCAGTTTGCCCACTTTAACAAAGAACTCAAACAAACAACGCTGCTCTAATAAATGGCGCATTGCCGAAACGACAAAGCACAACGAAAGAAAGGGGTCGACTTCAAACGCGATGTACACTCCTTGAATGCTAAGAGACAACAAATTACTGGTGAACTGGTAGCCAAGACCCCTCCCCCCTCCATACACACACTCAACCAATGCATAAACATCTTCTCCTTCACGTTTTTGTGAAAAAAAATATTCTCACAACTTTCCCGACAATCCCGGTAGCGAGGTGGTAAGACAAGCACTGAAGGAAGGTGATTTAACATTAAGTAAGGTTGGAGTGGGAGAATGGAATTCCACACTGAAGTTGAGATCGTGGGAGAACTTGTCGACCATGACAAGCAGCACGGTTGTGGAGCAGTCAGAGAAACTCATACGTGCAGAGCACATCTCAAGCACGGGAAACGCGGTACTGCCTGTGGCCTAAGCGAATCCTTTCGTTTGTGGTGTAAATCTTTTCTAAAGTGGTAATGGAACTCCGAGTTTACGAATGATTTGTGAACTCTTGAGTTCATAAGACCAGCACTTATTTTGCCGTCGACCTTAAGATCTGCAGGATTGCGTCTAATCTGCCGCGTGTGCCGAACTTTTCCCACACGAGTAGACAATGTAGTGTCACCTACTGGATCAGCTCGATGTTTTGCGCGCGCAGCTGTTCAGTTGGTGACGCTGAACGAAAAATTTGGGCGAGCGAAATGATGAGCGACGAGAGAGTGGTGAACGGGACTTACGACCATGCAGGGACTGTGAACGAAGACGACACACCGTTTAAAAAAAAAACTTTATCACTGGTAGCTTTTGTGTTTTGTAGTAAGGAGGGAAGCATCTATGACCGACCTCTGGGCGGCAGTTGTAGTTACGAGATGCCGATGCCAGCCAGCACCACGGGTTCTTGCAAGGGCAAGTCACGTGACCAGTGAGACGGTGGTGGAAGTGAATTGGGCAGTGGTTAGAAATTCTACATTCGAAATGATTGTGAGCACGCCTCAGAAGGCTCTAGCCTTAGACACAGAAAGTGAGAGCAATGATGGTCGATCATTCGAGAAGCGCCTGTGGTGCTCAGAGACCCGTGGTTACGATTGAAGAACTCTTACCTAAAGATGGAATGCATCACTTATACCACACAGAAAGTAGAGTGTTTGAGGACTAAACGCACATAGAAGCAGGACACATTGTCAAGTTCACGGCATAATATTCTCATCAGTTTCTGTTCTTTTAGGGGTACCTGTAAGCCCGGCACGTCTTTGCACGACCAAGTTGCTGCCATGTTCTGATTTGCTGCGGGCGATATGCCGATAGCACTCTTTGAAAAATCGGAGCCGCAGTATTGCATATGAGTATACTAAAATAACATCTACTGAGCATTCCAATATGTGCCATACTCTTTAGGTGCCATCAAGGCCATTTCTGCTGTGCGATGATGAACGAATACGTCCTGTACGTAAGTCAGGCATAATTCTGTCAATGTTTGAGAATGAGATGTCAAATCCTTTTTGGCTACTACATACCTACGAGAACATTTGGCCGAACAGGGTAAACGTCTTAGCCACGTGGTGCCCATTTAGAGTTTTTCGTGATTCTTGACGCACATCCTGGGTGTTCCTAAATTAGGTGTTCACCAACGAGAACACCCTGTGCCTTTTAGTTGGCGAAGCTGCTTTTAGTCTAACCTTGTCACTAGTCACGCGTACCCGAGAGAAGGATGCGGGGAAGAGAGGAAGGCAAAAGAATGAATGACAATTTCTCATCTATTTTCTTAGATGGCGTTACTCTGCCACTTCTCCCATTGGGCGCCTGCGCGCTCTCTTGAATAATCACCGTACGTGGCGGATCGTTGGTGGGCATGAACGAGCAGTGGGGCGGGCGCATTGAAGACGTTTGCGCTCAGCTTCCCTAACTCGCATCTAGTCTGTGTTACCCGTGCGCCGTCTGCATTTCTCGAGCGCGATCGGACGCAGGACCCATGCATGGACGGAGGGAGCTTTGCCCCACTTATCATTATTCACTCCGTAGATATGGTGCAACTTTTTTCCTAGTGCGCGGTGCAGCTTTCAAGTTCTTTCATGATTTTTGAAGCCACTCTAGCTGTTTTTTAAACGTAGAAGATGCTGGTACTGACATAAGCGTGTCATTACATTGTTTGTATTTACTTTTTTCCCGACATCGGCAATGATTATTTTATGCAGATTTTTTCGACAGCAATACTCTGAGGCTATCTTACTTGATGAATGGACAGCCATTGTATAGGGGAACTGCCGGTGCATTTTGACCATACTAAGATAATGTTGTTTCTAATTAGTGTTACAGCCCTGCAAAAGTTAGGGTGGTCATTTTGCCAAGACACTCGTCATTAATTTCAATCAAGAAACGACAGTCAAAACAAAAATCAAAAGAAGGAAGCTGCTCCGTATTCTGTGAGGGACTGTGTGACGTCACGAAAATTTGTTTCAGATGACATCACGAGATCCGCTGACGTGCCTCTTAGCTGACGTGCATAGCTAACGTGCCTCTTCTGACGCGCTAAAAGCTAGTTGGCGATGCCATTCGACGCGGGATCAAGCTTCGTCAGCTCTTCTGTCTTACCAGTAACAAGATCAGCGATGATTTCGGCTACTATATCAGCGC